ATATATATATCTGTGTGTCTGTGTCTGTGTCTGTGTCTGTGTCTGTGTCTGTGTCTGTGTCTGTGTCTGTGTGTGCGTGTGTCTGTGTCTGTGTGTGCGTGTGTGTATGTGTGTGTAGATATTTAACTTGTGTTGGCATTCCATTTGGCAGCTAGTCCCGGAAACCTCTGAGACGACCGAGTGTGTTTACTTGAATGTACATTGTCAGAGTCCTTGATGAATATCGTATTCTCTGACATTGTTCGCTTACTATGTATGCGGAGATATGTACATAGGAGGTATATGCAGCGACTCCTCGATCCGACCGCATATACAAATACCTATCCTCGTGTTATTATACGTACAAGTGTGTATGATCACGTGTACGTCTATCAAAGACAAGCATCCTACGCACACCTCGCCTTTAGCTGAACATTCTTACTATACCCTTCACCACGTACAGAGGAGTTTTTCGACGAGCGTAAGGCGGTTCCTTTCATCCTCAGCGGCCTGGCCCCACACGACTACTTCAAAGGTATGCGACGACATCTGAGGAAGACAGTGACAATACAAATATGTATTATAATATCATATGTACATGGGGGTACTGTCCGGAAATGGGAGTGCATCCATGTGATAGAATATATGATAGTGATAGTATATGATAGTGATAGTATATATGATAGTGATAGTATGTGTGATAGTGATAGAATATATGATAGTGATAGTATATATGATAGTGACAGTATGTATGATAGTCATAACAAGATAACAATACTAAACCATTACCACAAACCCATATTAAAACACTACACAGATAGAACACAGCAGATAGTTACAGAAGATGATAGTCATAACAAGATAACAATTCTAAACCCTTACCACAAACCCATAAACACTACACATATAGAACACAGCAGATAGATACAGAAGATAATAGTTATCACTAGATAACAATACTAAACCCTTACAACGAACCCATAAACACTACACAGATAGACCACAGCAGATAGTTACGGGAGATGATAAGCTCACGAGTGACACACAAGAGATGGTGCTGAATGTGGGGTTTCCTGCGAGCGGGAAAACTACCTTCTACAACACACACATGAAGCCTATGGGCTACACCCACGTCAATATGGACACCATCGGAACGGCGAAGAAGTGCCTTCAAGTGTGTCGAGAGAGCTTAGGCGCTGGCAAAAGTGTTGTTATAGGTATGCAGGATCCGCTGTTTGTTGCTGTACGTTTATAATCTGATGCATGCCCCGGTAAGTCTATGCCAGGGGTCCGTTCGTTTCGATGTGTGGAGTGTACCTTGCCCTGGAATCTATACCGGTTTTGGACCGCATTTTGTGTAGGGCAGCAAGGTGGGCTTTAACTGGGTGTTTATAGCTACACGGTATATCAAAGCGCAGGAACATTAGCGTTATAGTGTGCGCAATACACATACACACGCACTCCCCAACCTCTACCATGCTTTTGGGGAACGTTTGCTGTAGGTAAGCCATTTGTCCATTTTACAGTGCGAGTCCTTGTAGTTCACAGCCCATTCTTGTGCAAAACTGGTGCATGATAGACTGGTCTCTGGGCTTGTGAAGCTATCTGAAAGTTTTGTACAATTATCGAGTCCTTCCGTAGAAATAGCGCCCATGAATTTCCTTTATAGGGTGATATAGTGATTCGTGTAGATGGATGGCGTTTGCTGAAGGTTTCGCAGATATGCGATCACTCGCTTGAACGAGACCTTTGTCAGTAGTGTAACACATCTAGTAGATTAGTAGTGTTTGCAGAACCTATCCTTCAGATTTTTTCTCGTATTGGTAATCTCGCGCGTTTCCAGGATATATGTACATTTTCCAGGATCGTTATGTTTCCAGGATATAGTCGTGTATAGGTGTCGGTGTGCACTACTGGGTTCACTAGTCGATGCCTCAACGTCTGCGAAATCCGCACCGATTCGTTTGAGACTTAATAATAGGTCAATGTCTCCCCTAACTGCGCATTCCGTTACATGTACATATTGCGCAAGTATATCACTTTTGCGTCCAACGTCACAGCAACATGGTGTTTCATATCACGCAGTTAGTGCCTAAACGTTCTTCTGGAGTTCTGTGAACCCCCAGTAGCTTTTGGGCATTTAAGTTGCATGTATGTAGCTCCCAGTGTGCGATGAACGGTTGACAGGATGCTGACTGACTGAATATGCATTAAGCGTAACGTTCCCCGGGCTGTACAGAGACACGCAGCTCATTACAGGACTACTTCCATTACAGAACTACTTTTGCCCACCTTGTTAGCTCATTACAGGACTACTTTTGCCCACCTTGTTAGCTCATTACAGGACTACTTTTGCCCACCTTGTTCGATTTAGATAACACAAACCCCACGAAAGCCACGCGGCAAGACTATCTCGCGATGGCCAAAGAATTCGGAGTGCCGTGTAGGTAGGTCTCTCGCTTTGTATTTCTTGTGCTTCCCATTGATACTTTTGTTTGTATATATTTGACATGACGTATGACTACGAGTGCGTATAGATGTTTGCGTCTGTCTGTGTTTAGTTCAATAAAATAACTAGCTGCTTGTACACTCTGTGCTGTATTCGACGGCCCTGGGAATTCACATCTATGGCGCGTCTCAGTATTCGTCGCCTTATCAGAAAATGCTGAACACCTGAATAAGCAAAAAATAATATATAAAACAATGTATTGGTCATATATAGTTAGAAATATACATATGGATACTGTCATGATATATATATATATATATATTGCTTGTTTGTATGCATATATATATAGATATATATGTGTGTGTGTGTGTGTGTGTGTGTGTGTGTGTACACACGTATCTATTGCGTACTCTGATACCCATACTTCATTGTCAGTTTCTACTTCCCCTTCCGTATGTTTATCGAGCTTGCTGCCAGCCATACTTCATGTCTCCTTTTTCGAACTTCTCACCCGTTGCCTTGCCTGTATAGTTTGGTCACCATCTCTCCCTCGTGTGTAGTCAAGTCCGCATCCTTGCCCGCAACATCGCAGATATCTACCAGCATCTACTGATTCATAGAGTTTGCGGTGATTCTCTCAATAGTCAAATAGTGTGCTATCCAATTCCGCAAATATGTTGTCTCCTGCAAGCCTGTCACCTCACGCCATCGCTGATAAAAATCTTCACTGACCAATAAACAAACCTGGTCTTTTTTTAGGTGCTTCTTATTCTCAGCCGATAAGTCCCTCGCCATTCATTGGTATGTCACCCAAGTTCTCAGTTTTGTCGTGATAATTGAACTAAAAGTGCCGAATTCCAGCATCCACTAAATAGTGGTTATAGGCTTGGTTTGTTATCGAAATCGCCATATGTTCTTTCTTCTAGTATGGTGCGACTGGTTGCACGTTGTGCTACGAGTATAGTCATGTACAACTCGTATGATAGTATAGGCATGTACAACTCGTATGATAGTATAGGCATGTACAACTCGTATGATAGTATAAGCATGTACAACTCGTATGATAGTATAGGCATGTACAACTCGTATGATAGTATAAGCATGTACAACTCGTGTGATAGTATAGGCATGTACAACTCGTATGATAGTATAGGCATGTACAACTCGTATGATAGTATAAGCATGTACAACTCGTATGATAGTATAGGCATGTACAACTCGTATGATAGTATAAGCATGTACAACTCGTTTGACAGTATAGGCATGTACAACTCGTACGATAGTATAGGCATGTACAACTCGTATGATAGTATAATGTGGTAGTATAGGCATGTCCTTTTACCACAGCCGATGTCATTTATTGCCTCATGGTTGCTGCTCAGCTCCCGTGCGCATATATCGCTAGCTCTGGGCAAGGCTTGTTATACTTGTGCCTTAAGGCGTACGGTGTCTTTTTAATTCATGCGCAGCAACACGTTCCGTGCCGTGTATAAGAAGACTGTGGATAAGTTACCGATGATAGCCCTGCACACTTATGCCAAGCGCCTCGAACCTCCAACCACTGATGAGGGCTTTAGCAAGGTGTGTGCCAGACTAAATTATTCAGATTGTGCGGGTTATAACTCTTGGGTTTAGGGTTTAGAATTGGCGCACGACGGGCTCATTCATCTGGGGGTGTTTACATTCAAAGATATGGGCTTGTAAGTGATGTTTGCTGAGTATGCCATGCGGTCGGGATTGAATCTAACGACGAACGAATATATACATACATACGTATCTTAGCCAATTAGCATGAACCTCAGGACTCCACACTAACTATAATGTTGTTTTGAAAATTCCCACAGATTGTAAATATTAATTTCGTCCCTGACTTCAGCGATGAGAAAGAAAGGACAGCCTTTTACTCGTATTTGACTTGAATAAATTACATTTGTAGTAGACTATAAGTTAGAAATGACGGGAAACTACCATATTTTACACTGTCAGTGTTGAAAAGGGTCAGTGTACTGCGCTTGGATCTCTTTTTGGCTATAGTAAATTAGGTGAATGACTGAACCAGGTTGATTCAGTCATACACCTATTTTACTACAAACCCGGGAAGGCCGCGAGTTCGAATCTTGTCTTGCGTGAATGTTGTGGTGGGTGCCAATCAATTGGTACTAGACCAGCAACCATTTTTCAGCGCGGAACGGTTAGGGAAATCCGCCTTAGAAGTGGTACAATTCGATTCATCTAGTTTACTACAAAACTGAAAAGTGCTATTGGGTATTTCCATCTCAATCCGCACGATCCGCTCCTGGGTGTGCACTTTTCTGATACTTCCGCGCTGAGATAACCACTCCTGGGCGGGTCTCTATGAACCTTCCGCGCTTGGCAATAGTGCCGGCCTAGTACGGCGTGATTGACTCTCATCACATAATTTTCGAGACAAAATTTGAACTCGCGAGTTTTTCGATTTTGTAGTAAATAATAAATTAGGTGAATGAAACCTTGTAATTTTTTTAAAAGCAACTCCGTTCTAATCTGATGGATTTAAAGGTTGTGACAGGGCGGGCTATCGGCGGTTGCTTAATTGTTCTAAAGTACATAAAATATATTGGAAAACTTCATGTATAGGACCGAAGGCGACTACTTCAGTTTCTGATCTTACGCTATTTACTTGTGTTATTAGGTTATTTGCTATATGGTGAAATACTCAGACAACGTCAGCTCAATATTTTCTTCTCCAAAGGGTGCAATGGGATCCCCTTCAAATGTGAGAGAAAAGTTACCTTATTCTCACAGTTCAACAGGTGTGATAAACTCACTCGAATTCTTCGGTACCCTTGAGCTTTCCGAATGTTGTTTTTTTTTTCGAGAGAATCTTGTCACATTAAGATATTTGAGCCAGGGTTCATCAGAAAGAGTCAACGGTCAAGAAGCCCGAGGGTACCGAGCAATTTTAGGTAAGTTATTTATCGTCATAACTATTGAATTATTTAAATGAATAGAAGAGCATCCGCGCATATTCTTTGGAGATGAAATTAGAGAACTGCCGTTATCCAACAGAGCTACCTTGAGTTCAAAATTAAAAACTGAACTCGTAGATCTACAGTGTAATAGTCTCATGGGCTGGATTACGCAGAGCTAATGAGAATATTCACATAGCGGCCTGTATAATATGGTCTCTTTTAAACAAGTATTGCTGTGTCAATTAACCAGAACCGAATTTCTTGGATACAGGTTCTCTGAAAGTGTTAGCGCTATAAATAAAAGATTGTTGCTACACCCTAACATCCGGTCTCCCTATTGTGACACTGATACGATAGGTTTTCAATTGGCAACAAACACCATGCCGACGATCCGATATTGAAAAGGGTGTGAACTACTCGCATTGAGAGCATCAGGTGAAAATCTACAAAAAAAAATCCGCAACTGCTTCTGGGTATGTCAACGATCAAGTATACCAGATATTGCATTGATAGTCAGGGAAAGGTTCCATAATTTAAAGGCAGAGATGTTAGAGCCAGGATTGACAGAATGGTATACATATTTTAAGTGACGAGATCAGCATCGCATTAACATACTAAAACTTTAGCGCCAATCCCTCGTTCTCGTCACTCTTAACGATAGAATAAGCTGTCATGCTTTCTCGGTCCATTTACAAGCATGATTATATGACGAGGAAACTGGAAGCTATTCAATCCGACAGCAGCCATAAATTTCAAAGTTCTCATCAATACGTGTCTCAGAACGTCTGCGTTGTGTTTCTCTTGCCCTATCCAACGACAGCTTTGAATGAGCTACGACCCGGCGCGTAATTCTAAGTTTGAATTTCTACCTTACCCAGTGGCAGGCGTATTAGCGTCAGTCATTACCGGCGGCACGCATAAGCGTCAGTCATAGCGGATGACAGGCGTGAATAAGGGTCAGGCGTGAGAATGGCATGCGTAGAAGGCAGTCATGATACAGGCACTCTTAAGCGTTCTCCTAGAATCATACTAAAGTGTAGTAGAGAGTAGACGGGCCAAGGGCGGGTCCAAGGCCCGAGGCCTGAGCCTCCCAGTGTATTAGCCGGGCCTCCACATTAACCTTTATGTTATCAACGTACTCTTCAGCAGTACGTAAACTATAAACGTACTCTTAAATAATACGAGGAACTTAAATTTCCAAAATGGGTTTTAACGGTTTTATTAATTAATACCTTTTCCATTTTACATATTGGATATTTGGACAAGGTCATTAAAAGGCCCCAATAAAATACCAAACATAAGATTTGGTCTAGTTCTATTAATAGAACTATATTTACTTTACAAATCTATTTATATCTGAATACTTCGGTAGCGAGATGGCTCAACCGAATATAGGTTTCTAGGGACTATTAGCGTTACCTAGTTTAACCTCCGTTCAGCCAACCAGATGTGCCAGTCTGATGAAGGCTAAGTCGGTAATTCTTGATAAGTGGCAAGTTATTGGTTAATGCACTAACTATGGACATCAAGAATTTTTTTCTTTTTTTTTTTTCTTTTTTATTAAAGATAGGATTTTATGAGTCTCTCGGATTCGCCCCAACGAAACATACCATAGTTTCTAATAGAGCGACAACGAAACATTAAATAAAATCCCTTCGGCGAAAACAGTACTGAGAGGATTATATATAGGCAATGTCTCAACCTTACAATCCCTCAGAGTATTGCTTTTATCACGAGGCATACCTAACTTTACCAAAAAAAAACTCATTTCGTTTATTTACTTCGAATTCCACGATACTTAGACCTAACCTACGCGTTTGATTACTCTAAGGCGTTAATATCGCCTTGATAGACCGAATCTTACACCAGCCTCGATTCCTCGAGGTCATCCTCCCTTGCCCCCCACACCCCCACACAAATTACCCTACCCCACTCACAATACATACTTGCCACCCTCTTCCGGCTCACCAGTCCTATTCTCCCCTCCAACAACTTAATTCCAAATTTAGTATTTGATAACTGCTGGTCGTCCCTAGCACTTACAAATTCCTACCTACAATACCATATACCAACCCCATCGAATCCTCTCCCACTCACCACCACTCTAAAGCTTAACACTATACCTATTATCACACACCTAAACATCATAAAAGTGTTTGCCACACACCCCAATACTCACCCATCCCTCACACCTATATCGACTCCCAAAGTATCTCCATGTGACATAATCTGGATCCCAGATGACCACATCCTCAGCAAAGCTGGCCATGCAACCCGTTCTTCCTTTGGAGTCGTTGGTTTCCACACTAGGGCTCCCCCCCCCTCCCTAATGCTCTCCTTCGCTGCCCACCAATGGCTCATTGTTTCTAATAGGCCTAACACCTCCCCAGCTCCGCTCCCGCTTTCTAGCCAAGTGGCTTGCTGTTGCGCCAATTTTAAATGATATCAGGGACGAAATTGACACAATTTCCCAAAGGATAACTTCTACATCGGTCATTTGGACGGGCTCTTCACCGTCTCTAACGCTTGATATGGAATTTATATTCCCACGCAGAACAATATAGCTCTATAACATATCCAATTTATAACTATGGATCGTAAATTTGACCGCAGATTATAGCCCACCCTCTATCGCAATAAATGTTGACAAAAAAATTGTCTTTTTCAGGGGGCTATGAAAAAATCATAGCCTCCTAAAAACAAAACAAAAAATGAACAAAATAAACTCTAGATGTGAAGATAAGCATGACGACCAGTAAAACCCTACTTCAATTTATACACATTCAGAATGTGTACGTATACTACTAGCAGAATAAAATAGAAACGTACCATATTTCATCCATACACGTTCAACGTAGCATTGAACATCACGTGAAAAAATATACAACGATGCCTCCTAATATCAGTAAGAGTGGCTTAGACTTGGAGGGATGCGATCTCTCCGTGAGTCCGGGTGAAGATTTTTTAGTAGGTGTTTGTATTCCTTTCCTTGCAGTTTATATCATGTTAAATTATGTTATCAACACTGATTTAATCGAGGTTGTCAATGCCCGATGTCGCGTACTTTGGTATCGTCCCCATGTTGACAAGAGCACTAACTGAATCTTTAGTAGGATTAATTGACCCGCGAATGTTGGCGGGAAGTGATCCTCTCTTGTTACCTGCGTCCAGGAGGAAGTGGACGTGCTATTGATGTGATAAAAATCAATGCATGTGGATCGTATTCTGCAATGCGTTCTGCTACGGTGTCGGCTGTCGTCAAGTTTTTCAGTGGGCTTGTATTCCTGGAGATAATGTTGCATATTCTTGAAACATGAAAGAAACTCAACCTGTAGCTGTTGTTTGCCTCAATTCGTGGTACATACACACGAAAACACGCTCTCCTACTTTTTTTCTTGTTTCTGCGAGCAATAGCGGTACGTTATTAGTTGGATGCTGGGTTGGCTGGTATAACACGATATATCATCCGCATAAATGGCAGCTAGGTTGCCGATATTGGGTGTAGTTGAATACTGTCCTGTATGTCGTGTGTGACGTACAGGGATCGACCTAGCCCATCTATCGTGCGTGCATCGAATTTAAGCAGTGGATGTGAATGGGTTCTCATGCAATGTGTGAGCTCCACAAGTGTGTTACGTGGTGTGTGGGTTTAACGGTAGACGAGAGGCAGAGTGAGAGAATGATCAGAAACCCTATTGGATTAGTCACAGGTGTATATCAATTAAACATAGCCAATTACTAGTACGCATACGGCAGCGTACACCAGTACCGCACATACCCTCTTTGTCGCTCTGATACCGATACCTTGGGGCAGGAATACACCATATATGTGCTATAATAAAATAAACTGTTGAACCACCATTCAGGCGTGTGCTTTGCAAACTCTGAAGCTGATGCGAGCGTGGACGAGGGGCGTTTTAAGTTGTAGTAGCTATTACTTTACACTCACGCGTAGATGATTGTAACCTCTTTCTCTTGATAAACCTTGTTCACTGGACACAGTCAGTATTGCAATGGCAACTGGAATGAAGAGATCCCCTCCGACCGGTCCACATGGGGAACGTTCATCTCAATCCGTGAGCAAACTCTCAAGAACGTGCACAAGCTTGTGTCCGATATATCTGCCAATGCCACCGTAGACGCTGCGTCTGAAGAAGGCAAGGTACAATCAGCCATTGCCACAACTACCGCTGGTGATGTAATAGGGATCAGATCATTCCTTTTTAGACAAAGGGTTCTCAATTATAATAAGTATTTGTGTAAAACAGAGCCATTGTGAGCTGTGTCTCATTCATCTGGTGTCACATATTAGTGTATGCCCTCGCGACTTACTGAGACGTGCGGATTGTAGTGAATCAACGTTCACCACGGAGCTCCATGTGCAATTTTAAGTGCACATTTATTTAATGTGCGGCACTCTAAGCACACCACTGCTATCAACCTTATTCTTCCTGCACTGTCAGGCTGTATATCACCCGTAGTCACTGTCATAAA